ACAGTGGTTCTCAAAGCGGGTGCCGCGGCACCTTAGGGTGCCTCAAGAACGCCACAAGGGTGCCGCGAAATTTTTAAATAATTAAATTAAAATTACTTAAAATAATTGAATTAAAGTATTAAATTAAATAAAAAATTAAAAGATGCCTTTATAATAATAACTTTTGTTTTGAATGCTTTTGTGTTGTTTGGAAATAAACTTACTTACTTTAATAAAAAACTTTTATTTTTTTCAAAGTCTTCTCATCCTTCATATCTTTACTAACCGTAAAAAGCAAAATAATAAATAATAATAATAATAGGGGTGCCGTGAATTTTGTTTAATAATTTCAAGTGTGCCACCTGACAAAAAAGTTTGAGAAACACTGGCATAATATGTAATCATATACAGCATAATATAAACATACATTACAAACATGTGTTTCTATAAGATAAAGAATAGCATCTCAAGGGGCTGAATAAAATCCGTTTTTTGCGATATAACTGATTCTCGGAACATTGGATGATTTTCAGCGGACCAAGCAATCTGTTAAAACAAGATGGACCAAGCAATCTGTTAAAACAAGATTCTTTTGTATAAGGTGGCTTTCCTTGATTGATTGTTGAAACAATGCAATCCACTGAAGAAATTTTTTCTCTGATTTGAATTAAAATTATTCCAAAGTTTTAAAATTAAAGATAGAATTTTTAAATTTTTCTATGATGATAAGCCAGAAGAAATAAGGAGTGCTAAAAGGGCAACAAAGTTATATTTAAATTCATGTCTACTAGCTGATAGTGCATCAAGAACATTCAAGCCTATATCGAGTTCTGGAGCAAGAAGTTGAAGAGGGAAAACCTTAACTGAACAAGTCCATTTCTGCATATTTTCTATCAAAGTTGATAGAATATAAATGTTTTTTTGAAGTAATTGTAAAATATTTTAATATTTCATCTGTTATTCCAATATTAAGGGCTGTTTATAATTTGTAGTGAACATTGTGTATTTAAAATAAATGAAAATCATATTTTACATTTATTAATTTAGAAAAATATACATATATATATACATGATAGAGAAAAATCTGCATGGAATTTCAATTGCAAGATTAGGTTTGGAAATGTTGTTGTATTATATACATCCAGTTCAGGATAGGGTTTGTGGGTTTATTTTTATGTTATAGGTCTGGTGGATTATGAATTTGTTACAACTTAGATCCATTAACAAGGAGTTCTACATTGATTCTTACTTGGCAATCTTCATGATACAGTAAGATGAAAATGGCTTCATTACTGGCAAGCAAAATGCAGTTTTCCATTATAACAATGTCTAGTGCAACACACTCTTCTACTTAGTGACATCTGCCAAAACACTAGATACTTTGGCTTTATCATCACCAAAATGAAAGCTGTACTGAATGAAAAATTGCACATACAAATTAACAGAAGAAATGAAAAGTCCTGTAATGATTACGCTTATTTTTGATTACGATACTTGTAACTATTTGGGCTCTTAAATAATAATTTATATTAAAAGTTTGGTTTATTTTTTACTATACTAAATATGTATTTTGTGTATGTGTAATAAATAACTAGGAAAATAAATTTATACAGCTAGATAGCAAAGCAACAGAAAGAAATATTTATATATTATGAGAAAATTGTGTATGATTGCACACACATTTGTGATTTAGACAATGATTTTAATTATTACTTTTTTATATATAAGAATATAGCTTTTTTTATATAGCTACATAATAATCAAACTTTAGATTTTTACTGTCAGATTTTTACTAGACTCTATTTCATACTATACACAGATTAATTCTAAACTAATTTTTATAATAAATTTCATCTATATGGGTTTTATTTGCAAAAAAGAAGCTGGTTGAGAAAAATTATCATTATTCAAGCAAAAATATATATGTAATTTATAATAGATTATTCTTATCGAATTTAAATAAATTTGTAATACATATGTTCAAAAATAAAAATGTCAATATTAATAATAATTTTGCTACAAATTTTAAATTAGGTTTACATTTATTAATATGAAATCTCATTTTATGATGTAAAAAAAGGAAAAGAATTTACTTTTTTAAATATGAATATAGGAGGAGAAAGATGGCGTGGCATGACTGAAGAAGAAAAGAGACCTTACATAGAGAGACAAAATAAGGAAAAACTTCGTTATGAAGGATTAATGGAAGAATATAGACGAACAAAAGTAAGTACTGTTATTTAAAATATATATATTTTTAGTGTATTAAAAATAATTGAAATTATAATTTTGTATTTTTTTTTAAATAAGTTTACTCAATCTGTGATTCTATGGCAAGATATAACATTTTTGAAGTGAATTGTTCTAATAATAACTTTTTAAATTTATTCTCATTTGTTTATAATCCAACATTATTAAATGAAGAAACATAATAGACACTCAACATAATTGTGCATTTCTTGTATTTATGGTTTGGTATTTGTGACCATTTTTCTTATTTGTAGACAAATTATTGATTGTAACAAAACAGATAGTCATTTAAATGAATTTCAGTGTTTTTCTTAAATTCATTCACCTCAGTTTCTGTTGTTAATAGTATTCACTCACATATTCTATCTATCTCTTAGTTTCTTGTGTTATTTTAACACATGCGTTTATATGTATAGTAAACATTGTGTTTACATTGGTATGGATTGTGAGAGTGTCAACACTATTTTCCAAGGACATTTTAGTTTTTTATCATCCTTAGAAATCAATGTCATCTAGACAAAAATTAGTGGCAAAATATTTAAAAAGTCAAAGAATTCATCGCTTGATAAATCTGCTTGGAGCAGCTTTGCTAAAATACGGTTGTGACTTCTGCTTAAGTTAGTTGCTATAGTGCTAGTACAGTGAAGTTTGGAAACACTGAAAAAAAAATTTTAAGATGATTGCCAAGAATAGAAAAGCATTCATAAAATTTTTTTTCAGACTGTGAAATGTTTCTATTTGTTTTTCTGATGATATAAATTTTATAACATCAGATATAGTTCTGTAATTTTGAGTAAATATTTTGATTTATATAAGAATTTCATTTTTACAACTCAACAAAGCAAGAGTTGCAGAATTTTTCCTTAGAAAGCAGAAATTGCTTAAACAAATTCTTGTTATCTTAAGCAGCTTTATCATGCAACATATCCAAAGAAAATATTCAGACAGAATTAATGTGCTTAGATTAGATCATTTTTACGGAAAAATTGCACAGTTAGGGTTGCTTAGGATTTTGTTGTAAATGAAGTAAGATACATTAAATAAAAGAGACAGAGGTTAGAAATATGGTAACAAAATTCTTTATATAAAAAAAAAAACATTTTTATTTTCTAATAATGTATTTTTAATTTTTCTAACCTTATTTTTTTTCAATACACACTAGGATCCCACCATGTCTGAACTTGTCATACACAGTTTCAGGTTTATGCTATTGATAGTTTGAAAAAAAAGAAAATCTGTAAAGTAAAAATTCTTATTTGAACTATATCCATGCCATTTCCCAAAGTCTCACAGCATAACCCAGTAATACTCGTTTCTTTGTTTTGCATTAAACACCACACCAGTCTTTGGTATGGAGTGCTACATATGACAGGAAATTTCCCCAATTGCAGATAATTTAACTTACTGTGTAAAAAGTGAGATATTGGGGAATTAGTGGATATTTGCAAATATATTATGAAATAAAGGAAAAACTCTGAAATTTTAAAGTTTTTGTTACAAATATATTGGGTTGAACTGAAAGTTCATTTGGTTTTTAGAAAGAAATAAAATATACTATGAATATTTTGAAATAAAAATAAATTTTTAATCCATTATGTATTCACCCTTCTGTTTGATGACCTTATGCCACCTGACGGGTAGTTTCGTAATTCCATCTGTGTAGAATTGAGCGGGTTTCTGATTGAAGAAATTATCGATGTGATTTTTGATATCTTGTAAAGATTGAAATTCTATGCCATTTAAATTATTCTGCAATGAACAAAAAAGATGATAGTCTGAGGGAGCAATATCTGGAGAATATGCAGGGTGACTCAAAACATCCCAGTTAAAGTCTAGAAGTTTTTGGCACACGTTTAACGATATGTGAGGGCTTGCATTATCATGATGGAATACCACCCCCATCAGTTTGCAAGTTCTGGATGTTTTTGATGCACTGCAGCCTTTATTTCATCCAGTTGGAGACAATATTTATTGGAATTAATTGTTTGGTTGTTCGGTAAAAGTTTGTAATAAAGAACCCTTTTCCAGTCCCACCAAACTGAAATCATTACTTTTCTGGGATGCAAACCAACTTTAGGTTGCTGCACTGAAGGATTACCTGGCTTACTCCAAGATCTTTTGTGTTGAATATTGTTGTAAATGATCCATTTTTTATTGCCTATTATTAATCGCTTTAAAAAGGGATTGTCTTCATTGCTTTAAAAGTGAATCACATACAGAAACATGCTCAATAAAGTTTCATTTACTTAATTGATGGGGAACCCAAACATCATAATGGGAAGTGTATCAAAGGCTAGCCAAATGTCTGACAACAGATGTTTGGGCTATTTTTAAGATGTCGGCTATCTCTCGTGTTGTTTTATGCCGATCATTTTGAATTAAAGCCATTATGGATGCATCTTCTATAGTTGAAGGCCGTCCTGACTAAGGTGCGTCTTTGACAGAAAAATCTCCCTCCCTGAATTTTGAAAACCATTTCTGGCATGTTTGATCAGTAACTGCATCCTCCCTATATACAGCACATACCTTTTTTTGAGTTTTTGTTGCCTTTTTCCCTTTATGGAAATAATAGAGTATGAGATGTTGAAAATGTGGCTTCTTATCTTCCATTTTAATGTTTTTTTTTTTTCTTTCTTGAAAAATAACAAAATTTTTAAAAATAGCTGTAATTAAACTTATGTAATAAATGTGTAAATATTCGTAATGTCAACCTAAACAGGTTAAAACTTGATAAGCATGACAAAGGCGCCACAGACGAGCAATTATGTAAATACCCGAACGAACTTTCGGTTCAACCCAATACTTCACAGGTATATTCATTACCCTTAAACTGGGTATTGCAGAGATCTGCTGTCTAGAGTTCTTGCTAATAACATGTCATGTCTGCATGATATCAGTGTTTGTCTCATTTATGCAAATTACTCTGCAAACATGAGTTAGAGTATTAAAATTTTTTAAAGTTATTTTTATGATTTACAGTATTATGCTATTCATTTTTAATGTAGTGCTTATTTGTCTTATTTATATAGAAAATATGTTAAAAATATGTTAGCATAGGAAATACTTAATAATTAATGGTGTTTGCTATTTTACATAAATTTTCGCTTATATGAGGGATCTTGGAACACATTGGTCACATATTACAAAAGCTCTACTGTATTTTTTTTCTTTATTTACACTTTCCATATTCAATTATATTGAAAAAACAAATTATAATACAGTAAAGCGTCGTTTATCCGAAACGTCCGTTATCCGAAAGCATTCCAGTCGGCAAATTAAAATTTTCGCTAGAGCTGTGGCGCTGCAATCTTCGGCTATTTCTTGGGTTACTCAAATATTTTACATTTTTGATACTAAATTAACATGTGAAGCATAATTTTTTATTGTTTTCATATTTTTCAATATATTTATTTTGTTTGCACAAAATAAAAAAATAATTTTTAACGATACAATAGTCTTCGTTAGGCTTAACATCGACGAAAATTCAACGCGAAGCGACACGCAACGGAGAAAAATTTCAACATGGATTAAATTAACATATTTTTACGTACANACCATAATAGAATAATAATTGATTAAAAAAATGTAGTTTTATTTGCACTTTACCTTTGAGGATAGACGACGGTGGAGGTGTAAACTGGTGGCAGAGTAGAGGGAGAAGGGAAATGATACTAAAACTTAACTTACATAACATAATGTAACAATAACTTAAAAATAACATTTTTTTATTCACTGCTTTTTGCTGTCTTTCCTTCACTTCCACCAGCACTTTCACGGGATAGAGGTTGCTTGATAAAATATCTATCCAAAGAGGTTTGGCTTTGCCTACTTTTTAAAATATTTCTAAAATGACTTAGGCAAATGTCATTACTCTGAGCAGCAATATGGCCAGTGTGAACATTTTCGGGATGTTTCTTTTCAATGAAATCAGTTACTTTCTGATAATACCTCAAGATTTCCTTTATTGAGCAAGATCCTTCCACGACGAAGCAAACATGCAGACTGAGACCAATGAACAGAAGTGAATAAAAAAAATGGTGCTGCAAATGTAATGCCATATGGTGAGTTTTTGTTCATATCGTGGAGCAAAAATATGTTAGAATTTCATGTCATATCCTGAAAATTTTGTATGCTGGAGCGTTCGTATTTTGAGGTACTACTGTAGAGCAAAAATTTTTTAATACACTAGACTGTGTGTACAGATCATAATTTCATTTAAACTTACATTAATCTTAATTCTTATATAGGTATATTAATACAGTACTGTACCTACATCATAATCTTATAATAAAAAGATACTTTTTACAACAATTTCTATTGTAATAATTAATATGTATGGTTTTAAATTTATATTGAATCTTGATTTAAATTAGTTTATTTTAATAAATATAAAAAGAAATTTTAAAAATAGAAAGCAATCTTTAAAGAATAAATTTCAGAATATGTATTTTTAAATCTTGTTTAAAATAATAATTTAGAAATTTTTATTACTAAATATTCCTTTTTTTGGTAAGATAGATAAATATTTATCTATCTTACCAAAAATGTCATAATTAAATCATTAATTCTTAAAACATTTGGAAATATGAGTTATTTTGACTTAAACTAAATTTTCAGCTTTTGAAATTTATTAGATAATATAGTTACATAGTCTTAAAAATTGTAAATAATAATAAAATTAATATTGTAGTGAAAGAATAGAATAGACAGTTTATATTTATCCCACAAATAGGGTAATGAAGGTATGGCTCCAGCAGTTAAAAATGAAAGAACTGAAGAACAAACTCAAGAAAGTTCAGATAGCTTAGATAGTCATACTACAGGTACTACAAGCTCTGCTGCAGCAACAAGTGGAGGGAATAATACAACATCTCAGTCTATGCTACAGTCAGACACAACACCAGTTTCAGAATGTTCTACTCCATCCCCACCTGCCCAAGCCCCAAGTCCTAGCCCATCCTCAACACCAACTCCTACCATTTCCAATGGTATGGCTTCCTTACCTTCTCTTTCACATACTTCTCTTGCTATGGGGTATGCCCAACATTCCTTACCAAATTTTGCCCATTCTGGGGGAGTTCTTCCTCCCACCCCTAACTACAATCAAGCACACGCCCACTCAACGATGCCGGCTAGCACAAATTACCTCCAAACTAGTGGTGCTACGTACAACTTAGCCCATCTCCCAAGTCACTACAACTGGACCTGAATGTAACCATTGAAAAGATTGTACAGGAGTCTGGGTTTATTCCTACTATCTGTATTTTTGGAGGTAGCCTACTTGTAACAATTTTTAGCTGGTTCCATGTGCACTGTTATATCTCCTAGTTTACTTTTATTTAATTGTATAAGATGTGTTGTTTATAAACTTTATCTCTTAAATTATTGTCTTATCATTGGAATTATCGGAATGCAATTTAGATACTTTCATTCCGATATGATTGTAATGTCAAAGGCTGCAATCTGTAATGCATTTTTCATATCAGACGAATACCAGTCTGATTTGATTGCGCGATAGCGCTAAAGTTGATAACAATGTTATTAAAAGTGTATGAATTTGGTGTGGGGGTAGTAGCATATTATTCATGTATAGTATTTTCTCTTGAAACATTTTTCTCTCTGCAATCTGACTGTAATTCATTGTACATTATGTACTGCAGCTGCAGTCTGACTGTAATGTTGATTCTACATTATGTACTGATGATAACGTCTGTAAGGTGTTGTGTATCAGATATGCCGATACACCTAAAACTCTGCTTCTCCAGAAAACATTTAGTGTACTTGTACCACATGGATTAAGCAACAAAAATAAGGCTAACACTCATTGTTGTATCTTGTAAATGTCCTACTGTCAGTGGAAACGTAATATTAATCTATTCAGAATAGCATTTAAACAAAACTGAATCATTAATGTTAGAAAAATGTTTGAAATGTTTGATTTGTTTTTCACATCAAAAGAAAAAACTTCAGGTTGATAACTTGGTTTATTATAAAGTTTTTGATGAAAAATATTTTTAATCTCTCTACCTCTTTCTCTCTTTCTCTTATGAAATGTTTTTACTATCTAGCAGGAAAATTGTCATAAATGGAATGTTCTAATTCTGGGACATAATTAACAAATCAGATCAAATATAGCAAAAATTTCTATGTAAACTCAAAATTGAAAACAATTTTTATTTTATACCATTATGTATTATCATGTAAGTATGAAGTCACTGCTTTTGAATCTATTGTTGTCATTTTTTGTAAAATCAAATATTGTAGTAATATTGGTGTTGTGTAGATGTCATCTTTTATATGGCTCGAAGCCTCTGTTGTGTATGACTGGAAATTGTCTCGGTGCCAAATAATAACAACTTCCACGCAGGGTGCCATGTTGCTTTTTTATCACATATTTGCCATTTAAAATGAAGGTCTCAATTGAAAAATAAATATTATTAAATAAAAAGGAAAATGGCCAAAGTGTGGTTACTAGTAACCACAGTACTTTTGCTTCAATAATATTAATTTAAAGATATCAGCTTTTATCCAAATATGCACCTAGTGCAATGAAATTTTTACAATACTCATCGTGATGATGATGATGTCTGTGTAATTGTTGATAGTGCTATAATTTGGTTATTTCTTCTGCTTCTGTAGACTCTAGATAGCATCATTTTCTATGATGTTTCAGACGGTGTTTTGTTTTGGATATATAAGTGATGATTGAATACCATTTATATATTCCGTTTTATAATTACTAAAAATACTTGAATGTTGGGTTATATTTGGCAAAGAAATCTTTGATTTTGAAATTTTTTAATTAAATTATTACATTCTCAACAAGCAAAATTTAACTTATTCCAAAAGTAGTTTCTCTCCCTCTTAAAGTTTTTTATCATTTTTTCTTCAAAAATCCATTCTCTTATTGGAACGGAATTATGTGTATATTGAACCATGTTATATTCATCTTCAGTATTGTGAAGTGTTTTTTTTATAAATATATATATATATATACAATATAAATATATGTATATTTCACATTCAACACATCATTTCAATCATCATGTAAATTATGCAAATATTTAATAGTCATACCCAACCAAACTAATTTCAAATCAAAGTGATAGTCAATCACATTTGTTTTTAATTTGAACTTTTTTTTTATATACATTTTATTTATATTCACAAAAACTGCTTCATACATATGTGTATTTCATAAAAAAGAAAAAAAAAACAAGATGGCAATCAGGATTGTGTTAAGTTCAAAATGTCTTAAATTGTTCATCTCATAGCATTTGGTGAATCACAGTTTTTGTGCATTTCACCACATTATTAAATGCCAAGCATGGATTATCATCTCCGTAATTTATAATGTCATTTTTGCCATAAATTTCCTTCATATTCAAATTGCCTTTTTGGGCAATACAATGTCATTAAGACAATAAATTCCCAGTATTATAATGTTTGTTCACTTTTAATGTTTGCTGCAATTTTTATAACAGGTTATATATCTATTTATTTATTTTTTTGTAGTAATTTGTTTACATATTTCATCAGTCATACTCAAGTTTAAAATTTAAACTTGATTACTCAAAATTATGCTGATCTCAATTTTTTTGGCAACTCTTTTATTTTGTTTGTCATAATTTTGAGTTTTATTCAAAATAATAATAATAATAATAAAAATTATTACATGCAATACTTGTGTGAAAACTGGTAATTCAAATGAATAATGGCAAGTGAATAAATATCTTGCATATGTATAATAGAATCTCAATTTTTTAAAATACAAAATGCATTACTATGGAATGAAATAATAGCTGGAATCTTCAAATAGCTAATAAAAGGATTTGCTATTTTAAACAGTAGGGATTTGGACCGTGGAGAATCAAAAATTTATACATTTGTAATGACGGTCAACAAAAACCTTTTATATTTTTCTTGTCTAAAAATATTGATTTTTTAATTAATTGTGGCAATGTTTTGTTATATTATGTTGTTTTTTTATGTTGGCATGTTATTTTTTAAATTGTGCCATTTTTATATTGTTTTTGAGCAGCTGAAACATATATGATGTTCAAGTTAAGTTTTTTTATTACTTTTAATTCTGTTTGTTTATACTCATTTTTTATTTTTAATTATTATTATTATTATTAATAATATTATTATTATTATACAGAAACAAAATCGTGTCGACTGGCAACATGATGCACAAATGATTGTAATTCCACATTGGAATTGACTTATTCCTAGATGAAGTGATCATTTTTTTTAATGTATTATTTTATAATTTATTGCTATACTATTGTTCTCACATATTTTGCACAAAACATTGTCATTTTATGAAAATGTGATGACAAAAGTTTGCAAAACTTGTAATTATTGTAACCATAGTGACAAAATTGTAAATCATTCATTAAGACGACATGTTAAGGTATATGCCTCCATCTCCATTTTTTCGTATGCATGAATGTATGTATGTATGTTTGTATATGTGCGCGCCTGTGTATGCGTGAAGTTTTCTCAATAGGAATGTGTACAAATTCCTCTCTTACTTAATTATCAAATTGACAATGGTATGAATAGGATGTTTTAAACTGCACAAGTTTCTTAAGCAACATGGCATCCTAATTCAATATTTTCATATGATATAAACTATGATTCTTGTTATGTAAATTATTCACAAGAATTTATTTATTTTTTTGTTTTAGTTTTTTTTTATTTTTTATCTTTATTTTTACTTTTTTTTATGATTTTTTACCATTGTGTTCTGTCAGGGACCAATTTTATCAGAATTTTTTTTTTATTTTGTACGCAAACCATATCCTAATTTTAAAATCATTTCAGATTAGGATCATTATAATAAATATTTTATATATATATTTTTTTTCAATATTGTAATTTGAGTTATTGTTATAAATTACGGTACTATAACAGAAAAAGAATTCAAATTGAATCTTAATATTGTATAATAACTGCAGCATACCTGTAGTGATTGCTAGAAATAGGCAGCGAGATTTAAGCTCTCTCTCTGTTCTAAGTGGCACTGCATGTTTGTTGTTAAGTTAAATACAAGTAGATATTTATTATTATTTTTTCTTTTTTACATCAAGTACCAAAATTTCTCCCTAGTTAATTCCCAAAAAAAATGATGGTCCTTTTCATGTTGTCTTATTGTAATGCCTTCAAAGTGGTATTAGTGGCTGAAATATTGTAACACTTGTAGATTTACTAGGGCACATGTGGACATGCACCGATCATCATAATTTGTGGGAAATTTATGTGAAGTTAGATATGTATTTGCCTACGCCATGTCCAGATATAAATATGTCTTTGCTAAACAAAGACGAAACTGGATGGTGAGGTTTTAAGGAGTGTATTTTTCACTTCTGCAACCAGTATAATGTGCAGCAAATTAAAAGTTACTTGTGCTATTTTCTTGTTTTTTATTTCAGTGTATGATTTTGTTATTACTCGCACTAAATCAACAGGGGGGAAACCTTTTTAAGTAAATCACTTTTAGAAATTTACTTAAAAGAATTTAAATCAGTATAATAAGATAGAATTTTTTAAAGTATTATTAATTCTGATATATACACGACAAAACTTTACTCCTCTTTAAAAAAAAAAAATGTTTAGACGATTCTTAAATTACAAGAAAAAAAATTAACACGCTCAACCTCCGTTAATTTAATTCAAAGCTACAAAATACTCTTTAATAATTATATAGCTTTAGATCGATAGAATACTTCCAAAAAAATGAAATAAAATTTTAGAAGTAAGTGCAATAAATATGAAAAAAAAAATTCCTCTTGGTCATTGACATCCGGATGGTAATATCTAAAGAGCTTTTTACAGGTTGAATGGTCAGACAGACGGCTTGATGGATGGAATCTCTCAAAAATCGAAATCGTTTGTTTCAAAATACATCATTCTTGCTGTTCTATCTAGAATTGGAATTTAAAAATACAAATTAACGAAGTGATTACTTTTTTTTTTTTTTGAAATGCATTTTTAGAAAAAGCGAAAGTAAAATTAATAAATAAGAAGTTTGTTGGATTGGAAAATTTAAAAATTATTCGAAGATTTTGTCAATCATTTTTTTCTTTTAAGGATTTCAATTCAACTTTCCTTTTACTCGTTTTTGATGTCATAGACCCGCACGCGTATTTACCTGTAAAGTAGGTTAAGTCCTCACCTCAACTTTCACGTGACCTAGAACAGCGTTTAAAAAGTCAGATCGCCTATTACCCGACACAGCACAATCAGCATGGACAGGATCCGCATTCTGATAACTCTCTCCCTGCTAACGACCAGTTGCATCCAAATCACCACATCTAGTACGGTGTACGATATTTTAAATCTAGTTTATCAGCTCTGTGGTAAGTATTGAAAGTTTATTCGAAATTCTAGACGTAAACTCGTATTTGTTACTTAATATTATATAACGAAAGGTTACCCCTCAAAAAAAAAAAAGCCTAAATTATGAAAACTGACGTTACCGTCCCACCTTCCCACTTACGCAAACTGGATTTTCTAATTATTATGTAGGCTAAAGGTGCAATGAAAGTTGAACCGACAACTTCTACGACCGGAAAGGGATCCTATAAACCTCAAAAGTACAAGTAAACTCCCTTTTATCGCTGTCAGATCGAAATATTTAATGAATGACCTGATCAATATTGTTGTCTATAAAGTAAGCTGCATTATACCGGCGTTGTTTTTCTTTCACTAATAAATTTCTTCAACTTTTTGTTCCTCGGCATTTTCAATAAGCACACAACTAAAGAATTTTTAATTTTATAAGAAGAAGGAAAAAAGGAAAAAAAAAGTATTTCGATATTACTTTTGTGTTCTAAAAAATAAACACTCATTTCGAAGTCATACATAATGTATACCATTTACATATAGTTAAGAAGAAAAGACGCATTATTGATCTGGTCTGGTTTAGTCTTTACGGCCGTTGATATGAATGTCAGAATTAATATTCTTCATCTTTTAAGCTTCTGTCTTAATGGTAGTGACAGGCGAACCAAAATTATGACTCTGTAAGACCGGATCATAAATCATTGGATGGCCTGGATTTTCTCTCCTTCGAGTTTTGATCAGTTTAGATCTAGTCGTATAAACTGTTGAACCAAAATAGGAATTATAAATTATTATTATATTTTTCATTTTGTTTAACTTCCCCAGCTTCATTCATTCGACTGTAAATGAAACTAGATGCGTTATAACGAACAGAACACGAAGAGACAGAAGGGAGGGAAAAAAGAACACCACGCTACTTGGCTTAGTTTAATATAGCTAAAAGCAAACTATAAATTTTGAAAATCATAAAAGAAAGTTTTTAATTTTTGTGATCTGGATTTTGTCCAACATAATGATCGCAGCTTTTCTTCTTTTCTTTCTGTTTTATATTAAATTATTCAAAAAAAAAGTTCATTTAAAAAAAAATTCGGTATTAACTAGTGTAACAGTCAATACATCATTCAAAATTGCAGACAAAAGCCATCGATTTTGAAACGTGCTTTCGAGTGTAAGAAAAGGGAAAAAAAAGAGGGAAAAATATTACCAACCAAACTGTGTACTATAAACTTCACTCATTTCCCGCAGTGAATGGAAGTGCTGGCAATAACCTTACAGTCTTTACGAGCTGCACAGTCTCTCTCAACTCTCAATGTTTCTAGCCAAGTATTGATTACTTTTGCCTGCTTCAGTCGCTCGTCTGCAGATGGAATATATAGAGTTTTTCGACGCCAATCAAAATATGAAATTGTATATTTTTAATCGAATTTTTCTCGATGGCTAAAAAAAATATACATACATACATACATACATACATACATTTTTTAATCCGTTACGAATCGGATAATTCCGTTTCACGGGCACGAAAAATTGTCCCCGTATTATAAGCTACATTACATCCCGTTACGAAATTAAATCCTTCACTCCTGACCCGGAATATTAAGTTTGTCCAGAAAAAAAACAACTTCCTCCTTTTTATTTCCATTTACTCGTGGAAAAATAAATAAAATAATTTTAGCCGGCGTTAATAATTCCCGTCTGGCTATTAATTATCAATTAGTTGGTTGAATAGCCCCCCGCATCTCGCGGGATCTTAAAAGCGAAACCTGATTCCGTCCTGGCCGACAAACGGTGAAAATGTCAAAACACTCACTATTTTCGACATTTGAATTTCTAGTTAAGTATTTGTCTGGCAATCGATTCATCCGTTGGGAGTGTTAAATTTCCGTAATGTTGACCCAATGTATCTATGACGAGAAGGCGAAACCAATTTTCTTTAATGTATTTTTACCGAAAACTCGAAAAATCAACTCCTCTTAGATAAATATATTCGCTATAAATATACATATTTAATGCACGGCATGAAGTTAGATTGTGTTGTTTACCGATAAATCCCATATCTGTAACAAAACATAACATAAAAAAAAGAAACCTCCATTAAATAACATCAATCGGGAGTAAAGAATATTGATTTCCGAGATATCCTTTTACAGACCGAATATATTCTCTTCGTTCGGATGACATTATAACCATTAAACTTAATGACGAAGGTTAGTACCTCGTTTAAACATAGCGAAAACATTCACTAAATGCGAACCATCCTTTAGAAATAATTAAATTTTTAAAAGTTAGCTCGTATTTTGTTATATAATTCGCCGCCATCGTTCCCGTAACCATAACGCGGGCGTATAATATTTTTTTTAAGAAAAAAAAATGTTTTCGGACAGATCAACCTCGAAGAAAATTATTTTGGAGTGGCCTCCGAAAGGTCGACATATGGCAATCGCGTGCGATGTATCATTTATATAAGTTATGATGTCATCGCGTATCGTTTGGAGTGCATCGAACTGGAATACGGTAATTGGAGGTTAGTTTGCATCTCGCCGAGGTTTTCTTTAGAGATAAAAATAACTCGGCCTTACGTATTGTAGGAAAAAAAAGGCCGATTCTCTTCCTCGGGGGTAAGGACTTGACCGCCTTATTTCTATTTAGTAATGAACTTGGTACTAATATTTAAAGGCCGTCACCGAAAGGGAAAAATAGTCGAGAGGCAAATAACCCGATTCTTCCGTACTTTCACCTCGCCTGTAAATGAACTTTAGTGACTAAGAGAGAAAGAAATTCCTGCTTTAAAACACGGCGGATTTTCTCATAAAACAATATTTATTCATTTTTTTTTCAACTGTAAAAGTCGACATATGACTCATCCCGCGTCGGGATGAATAGGAAAATGGTACAAGACAGGGAAATCTCTCCATCACTTAACACTTTCGCTTCCAATTACATAAATCGGATATTAATTTTATTACCCGAATTATATATATATATATATAATGGNTATATTATTATTATAAAAAAAAATTTTTGTTTTTTTTATTTCGGTTTAGTTCTTAATAATAACGCGCGGGGAATTAAAAAAAGTGCATTTTTTTTAATGTCTTCCGTGTTAGAGTCGGTTAGAATGTGTCGGTACCGAGATACTACTACGTTTTATTAACGTTTCGGCAAGGATTAGATTTTAAAAATACTTTTCGGAACTTTTAAATTGTTCATAAATCGCAGGAATTTATTTTTAACTGGCAATATAAAAGACAGACAATAAATCATTCTGTCTCGGACGAATGTTTCGCTTGATAACAAAAATGGAGAATGGAAATAATTAATTCTAAACAATCGATAAAGTCGATCTGTATTATATTATTCGACGTATTTGACATTCAATAAACGAAAACAAATTTATTTTATAATTTAAATGGTCGATGGATTATAATAATTGTCTCGTGTTTTGCGTCACTTTTTCCCCCCTTCTTCTTCTTCTTTGTAATTCGCTAAAATAATTAATTAATAAACTTTTATATATTTGTATATATATATGTATATTTACGAGTGTTATTTTCACGTAATCACTGGGTTGACATCATTTATCGCCATGACAACGTGACATCGTTTACGTTTTATGACGTTATCCATTGAGGAGAGAGAGGGGGGAGATTGCGTCGAATTTCTCTATTCGCAGATTAGAAATTCAACATATATAAAAATCCAGCCAACATTCTGTACATTTTTAATTTAATATCCGCCGGCAGATAACTGCTAGAATGCGAGTGTATATATATATTTTTCGGCATAGTGTCACCTTAATTATTACGCTATATTTAAACACTGAACAGGGTAGATAAACAACAAAATCTGGCTCGTTAGAATGAATTCCTGTCGGACGAAAGAAAAGAAAAAAAAATACATATATATTTTTAAAAAATTTGTAAAATATGATGCGATATTAAATCCCGTTTAATATATAGAAGAAGAATCCATTTGTTGTTATTAGAATCTAATTACGCCTCGAAGAAGAATATCGTACTTAGGTTTTAATTACCGGTTATAAATTCAGTTCGGGTGAACGAACAGTTGCGAATTATACAAGAAATAAATAGAAAATTATGTTGTGTTTTTTTTCCTATTTAATAATCAACACAATAGACGCTTTAAATTTGTAAAATTTCGGGTAAAATAAAATGTTTTTTCTTAATTTGTGTTTGTAAATATATAGAGTTTATCATTGTGATTTTTAAAAATTAAAAAATACAGCCTATATATATGTGAATAATTGAATAAAAGTTTAAATGGACGAATTGATTAACCGGCAGCAGAAAACATTTCGTATGATATGGTAGTTGGGATATACAGTTAATCAGAAATCTATATTTCACTCCGCTGCCGGTCGAGGGAAGAGAGAAAAAAGTCGAAAATATTTAATAAATTTTATTGATTCGGGCTTTTGTTTTCCAGAAAAATTCGTATTAAAATTTGTGATGTCGTTTTCGGAATCCGAAAAATGCTCCAAGCTGCGGCCATTACGTTGATTGTTTTAATGGCGTCGTGTTTCATTTTAAGATATATTAATTTCGAGTCGTTTTCTTTTTCTTTTTTATTTTGAAATTAAAAAAGAAATTTTATATTAAAAACTAATAAAATAAAAAAATAAATTTAAGATATTGCTAATTTGCTAATGGGACGAGAGAAAATCTTCACATCTTTACCACGACGAATCCGTATTTAAAAACTGATGAAATGTTTGTTTCATTTCAATATTATTACTCAAATTGTTCTAAAACACATTAAAAAAAAATAAAAATTGGTTACATCCCTCATCGACACAATTGTATTCCAGAAATCCCATTTAGACGCAGAATTTTTAATATCGTCAAAATGGAGTAAAAATAGTTTTACAAGCAAAATATCTGCTTTCGGTCCAATTTGTATTATGAAATTTTATTTTATTATTGACGTCTTTTTATAAATATCAAAATATTGGCGACCGGTTTTATAGAAATGAAAACAACGTTACCTTTATCTTGTTCGAACGTAGGAGAATACCACGTTGTTTTTATCTTTAAAAGGAAGAAAAAATGTATTTAAACGGGATTATCTAAGTGATAATAGTTTGTGAATAAATATAATGATTTTTTCTCATTTATATACTTAAATGAATAATCGCCTGAGGCCGTTGTAATGCACCAAAACTTCGGCACGGAAGGGACTTACAGCAGTGGATATTACTAAAGAGTTTTGTTTTAAAAATAAACTAAAATTCTGAAAATGAATACATGATTTTATAGAAATTATGTCGGCAATGTAAGTTTTTAAAAACTTATTGTGTGTGTTTATTAATAAAGTTTAATGCAACTACGCATCTGTACCCCGAAGATGGCCGAAACATGTAATGTAAACGGTAGATTGCCAGACTTTAAGAATAGTTTTCTTTCGTGTCTTGTGATTGGAAGACGAACCGGCATCTTTTATATTCCTTGAAAGTTCCAATAAGGAGATTACAGGTTATACGTTCCTTTTATAGACGATGGTATCTCTGAAAATTAAACATTGTATAAAAAGACTAATCAAAGCAGGAAAAAAAAGTATAAAAATGCGATTACAAACTCGATAGCCTAAATATTTCGGTTTGGCTAATTGAAAATACATTAGCGAAAATCTTAAATTTTCAGGACGATCAATTTCCCTATTCTGTTAAGCAGATTTAATTAACACAAACTGGGCAAAATCCGTTTTAAGAATCTAACATGGCCGAATTGCCGGAACGATTACGCGCTACATTGTTTAACGACTGGACGAAAAGAGAAAACATTATGTTTCCATCGTATCTCCGACGAAAATAAGGAATATTTAAATTACTCAAGTATTGTATTGAGAAACTTTTACCACATATAAAATATAATATTCTACCGTGATTAAATCATTTCGACGGATTATTGACATCGGTATAACTTAAGTAAGCAAGAGCATCTCATTTGTCACCTCCGACTTCGAAGTTAGTACAGTGGTACCTCAGGTTACGAACGCCCCAGCATACGAAATTTTCAGGATACGATATGAAATTCGAACATATTTTTGCTCCACGATACGAACAAAAACTCACCATACGACGTTACATTAGTTCGTATTTTTCATTTGTTTTTCTTACTAGTTATTTTTTTAAATGTATTACTTGGCTTTAATTTGAGTATGTTTTTCGCGTTGGAACGAATTATTTGGTTTTACATGTAATCGTATGGGAAAAGATGATCCACCTTACGACATTTTCATGATACGATCTCAGTTTCGGAACGGATTAATTTCGTATCCTGAGGTACCACTGTGTCTTTTTTTTGGAGCATTCAATATGGCGGCACCCAGTTTACGTATCCACGTGGTATTAAAAGACGAAAAGCTTAATTCATTGTTTACGTCAGTCAACACTAAAATGAACAGTAATCGAATTTAAATCGACTTTAATTTCCATACATAAAAAAAAGACGTCGTCAGACATTGAAAAGTAACTTATTTTTTTCAGGTGTCGCCTCTAATAGAGCAATGCATGTCAAAAAAGCCCGTATTCAAGGGTAACATTAATTACTTATGCGATCGACTGACGAACGTCAAACAATCTTCGGTAAAATATCAACAATCGCCCACCGAGCTGACAAGAGTAAGTAAAATTATATTAATATAATTTTAATTGTTTAAGCGAGAAAGATTTGTCTACGTCTACCGCAGATTCTATATTCGATGCGAAATATTACACTAGATTGGTGAATAATGATGAATTAATGTAGAGAAATAATAATAATAATAAAACGATAAATATTTATATTTCATTATTATTATTATTAGTTTTCGTGATATATTAAATGACGTTAAAATGTAAAATATGAAATTTATTCTCGTGTATAATTCCGAATTTAGGTAGGAAAATTATGTAAATGTGCAATTAAACGTAATTTTTAAATTGAAACCATCGATTATTATTAATTTTTATCGATAAAATGCAGATAATTTCATTATCGTCGTCGTCCATTAGCAAAAATGATTATTCTATAAATATCGTGTTAGGTACTAGTTCAAATAGTTGTTAATCTTCGACGAAAATTCGATAATCCGAATTTGACGGGATCTTACGGATAATCCAGAAACTGATTTTGTTGTTTTTTTTTGTACAATGAAAATACTTTAATGAATAAATTAACGTACTCAAATGCTAAGTATACGACCTAGTTTCGCGGTGCCACAATCGAAAAAGGTAGTAATAATAAATTCCTGTTACGCGGAGAATTTGTTTTCTTTTAACCGTTTCGGATAATCGAGTTTCAATTGTATTAATATTAAATTACCAAATTTCTGACATTTTGGTGGAATTATTGTAGCACGTTTTAAAATCAAGACTCCGAGAGAGAGAGCGATTGTATTTGGATTAACACTTGTAATTAATATATTACCATTTTCAACTGAAATATAAATCAATTCGGTGTTTCTTTTCGGTTAGGAAATCAAATCATCTTGCGAAACTTTTATTCGATTATTTAAAAAAAAAATATTCGAAGTTGATTTATATTGTGTTGCGGCAGAAGTGTTTCTTTCCTGTATTAATTAAGTTATTGTTTACGAAACGAGAAAATGTGCTGAATTTATTTTTGAAAAAAAATAAACTAGATTAAATAGGTTATAGGAACGGATAAAAGTTGCAGAATGTATTCGAAATTTGTGTCTAATCGAACTATTTTCAATCAGTCGGTGAAAGAAAAATTATCTTCATATTGTCAAATTTAATAATAAATGTAAATATATAATTTCGGTTATCGTCTCGCAACTCGGCCACCTCATTGTGGACCCGACCGAACCCGTAATGGGCTCGCTAAATAGAGGCCCTCTAGAGTCCCATAGGGCCGAGTTTAAAAAACTAAAATGATTGATAATGGATAAAATTTTGTTTTCATTAAAGATATTCATCAATTCGTGATTTTCGCACGGAATTTAGTACTTATAATGAGGTTATTATGCAACCGATTAGTGTTTGTTTGTATAATACTCCCTTATTAATAATTGTAAATGAACTGCATTTTCTTTAACATCATTTTAAGATGGCGTGATAAACAATTCATTATAATAAAGTAGTAAAACTTAAGAATAAGTACGTTAGATAGTGATTTTTATCAAAGTTTCGGCTACGCACAATCGCTGTAGAACAGAGAAGTGATATATAATAGATTTATAATAGATAATAGCCTCAATGTGTGACAAATCCTTAAATGTGACACAGTATAATAGTATAGGATCAAATATAAACACGTGAGACCACGCTACACAACGAATTCTTCGACGCTCGCCACTCGCGCCATATTGCATCAACTTTTGATTCCAGAATAAAATGGCTTTTTCTTTTGTTTCGCTTGTATTTCGTATAGAGCTAAGTTAAGGACTCTCTAAAGACGTCAGTTTTTTGCTCCAGCTGCTTTTCTTAGAAATTAGTTTTTAGGTCCATTTCGCACGATCGATCTTGCTCAGATATTTCATTGAAATATGTGTTGGTGTTTTTTTTTGAGAACTCAATTTTTTAAATTAAAAACTGAAATTAATTAGTGCTTGTATCTTTGTGGTTAGCTAACTGTCTGCCTTTTATGTTTAAGTGTATTTTTATCGTGTTTTACGTTGAAAGTTACAAGCTACTAATCGCTTTCGGCTGTACTATACATTTGGGTAATGGCGTGGCTTCGAACTGAAAGAAACCTTTATCGAAGATAGGGATAAAAGTATTAGCGGAAGTATTTTATGAGATTATAGGGGCCGACGCGTAACAATGTTATACGTGGGATTATATTAAACATGTTCATTACTATATTAAATTGAATCTATTTTTAGTAAAACGGTAAAAATTTAAATATTTTCTCCTCTTCCCCTCTTTTCCAGTCAATTTCCCAAGAACTGTGGATTTTTTAATTTTTATTTTTAGTGCCCACAGATCGGAAAGAACTTAGATGGTGTTTTCCTCAGCCTCACAATGGGACTGAGCAACCATCCCGAAAAATTTGAGGTTTTTCAGGCTTCGAAGCGGTGTCCGTATACAGTAATTTACGTAAAGCATCGTGTATGCTTTCGCTTTCATCACGTAAACTTAGTCCACGTGTAAAAAATTGAAAGTAGCCTAGGTTATATTACTGGGCGAAAAAGAGAGAAATACCAGTCGTTCGTCACAACTCGCACCCCTTGCAATCACTGCTGGATAATAAGTTTATAACAGATTAAATTAAGAATCATAACTCACACCGATCTTGGAAAAGCGGGTAAATTAAAATGTTAACGTTGAAGGTGTTCGCGAAGATCCTCCTAATGCCGTTCATATTTATAGGTCTATACATTTTTCCAGCTTGCCTCTTTATTATATCTAGTCTCCAATGGTGTATACTGGCCATAGCCAGGAATAAAATGGCACAATAGTTACCATTATTCTGCTTATTAATGATATATCACATTAACAAATGCTTTCTTTCATAATTAGACCTAAATTCTTACAAAAGTCACGTGTAATTTGTAACCGTATTTTTCGTAAGGATAATGCCATTCCTGTCTCCTTACATATACAGCAATTTAAGAAAATTCTAAATAATAATAAAGCCCAAATAATTTAAACAGTTCAGATTAATGAATCCTATTCTATTGGGACGTGTTAAAAATTGATCGATCATCCGATTTAAAAAATGGAAAAATATGTATTAATAATTGTGTCGATCGTGTCAGACAGTTATTCAAAAAATTACACTTTACCTTATTAAATAGTATTTTACCCATTATTAGACAGCTATTTCTATCGGAATATTATGGTACAGTAATCCTCCATTTACGCGAATTCATTGTAATGCCATTGAAGATTTTAATTCTCAATTTTATGAAAATAAATGAGAGAATAGGGATGCTATGCAAGACAGATTGGGGGACCCTGTAAGTACTTTTCGTTACTTATCTTGACTAATTGAAGTGGCGCGATATGCGTTATTGTATTTATTTTAAAGTAACAAAACTGATTGTTTGGTATCGGTGTGATACTGCAGCACCGCATATCTTGAATATGGCAGATATTTAAGAAAATATTGTAAGTTAACGTAATGTGAGTTTTTGATACGAGTACTCCTCCCCTCCCCGATTTTATGTAAGTAGAAGTTAATAGAGGAGGATAAACAGAAATTTTAGACAAATCCCGTTTGTTCTTAATTACGCGATGCAGTAAACAAATTATCATAAAAAAATCCAATTACATGGACATCATTATTGAGAATAGAGAAAAAATAACATCACGGATGATAGGTCATCTTAACAAAAATGCTCTGAAAACACCAGGTAAAACTAAATACGTTTAAACGTTATATTCTTGTTAATTCATCGAAATATTTGAAATCTAATGTAATTCCTACCCAAAAGATTTCGCTCGGAAGAGCAGACAGAAAAAAACCGACGCAGTAAAAAGACGAAAGCGATATTCAAGATTAAAAGGTATAAATTATAGCATTACTAGCTGAAGCGATCCTCGCTCGAGGAGATTACATATTAAATAAAGTTAACGTAAGCCCGAAAGTAGATTAGTAATTTTGAAACCGTGTCGTTATTTGTTCTGTTTTTCAACGCTATATAGTTCGACCACTTGGCATTTTTCATCTTAAATTTTATTCAGTTCAGCTGATCGAACGGTAAGCCCTAAACAACTACGCGTGTTTGGAATTAACCACGTGCTCTGTATCATTGTGGTTTAAGATTGAATTTCTTATTCTAACGTTGGTACTCGCCTACATTCTGTTTAGTACTGCATAACGGTCAACAAAACTTCGGGAAGATTAAGATCATCAAAGTTTATTAAAATTCGCCGTCTGGTAATTTTGCATTTTGAAATATATATATATATATAAATTCTAAAATATATTATATGGAAAAAATTCGACCGAGGTTCGCCCTTATAATTAATCTATAACTATTACGCTTTTTTACGCGCCCGCGGTCTCGATTTCTT